GAAATCCTCTTTCACTTTTGAAGTTACTAGTTAATTTAAGCTGAGAATGCTGTTATTCAGCTTACTAGTTTTCCTCAATAATAAAATGAATGGGTTCATTTTGACTATAAATATTTTTTAAATGACTGAGCCAAGTAACAAACAGACTCATCATTGAGCGAGAAATTATTGGCCTGGTTATATTTCCCACTCCATTTCGATATTTTTACTGTTATGTTTATTAAGAACTCATTTAACCACAGGACAATAACAGTCTAATTTCTAACTTTTATCAGCAAATTATTAGATATGGTTAGGAGGGAATGGAGATGGAGTCCACCGTCGCAAGCATTTCTGGACTGATTTTATTTGTCTGCTTTTGATGCTACCTTTACTTACACTATGCGCATGGCTAACTGTCTCTTCCAGTCAAGAGGAAATTGGAACAAATCAAAGAAGTTTCCCTTGGCAATCGTTTTCTCTTGGATTATTGTGCAGTCTGTTACTGTTAGTGTTCACCATATGGTTAACGGTAAATATTGGTTTGTAAATATTTATTTCCCGATGCGAATTGAAAACGAGTTGCTTTATTAGGCTTTGTTACTTGTGTGAAATATATTTCGTTTCTTAATATTCTGAAATCATGAATTTTACACTACTGTTGCACCACCTTATTTGTCCCAACATTTTTTCATTAAAACCTAAACAGAAATGAAGGGTTTTAATAAAAATTAAACACTTTATTAATTAGGGTTATATGAATAAGATGAAAGTGCAATAATTTCTGAGAGCAGAACTCATGTAAGAACTAACATTTAGTGGTATAGTACCCAAATCCTATCAATGGAACGATTAGATTGGTCACGAGGTAGGTTTCATCAATAACTGACATGATCTAGAAAACTGTTGAAAAACAAGAGCCATCAGAAGAATTATTATCTCGGTGTAAGGTTTTCATATAGCTATTTTCTAACTATTTCTTGGGGGGCCGGGATGCGAATCATGCATTATAGATTAAAATTTACTAGTTTGACATTCTGAGGTTTGGGAAACAGAATGATTTTTTTGCTCTTTCATCAGTGAGCAGTCATCCTTAGTCAAATTGCGTTTGTTGTGACTTTCGGTCTTGAGTCTTACTGAGAGCCAGTACGTATATGTTAGTTGAATAAGAATTCGACTAATTTTAAGGTGAAAGATTAAAAATCACAACCTAACGACTTCTGGCGTAGTAGGTGGTTGTTAGTGTTTTTTTGAAAATTGGTAAGTCCGTTCGCGGTCCTTCAATGAGTTGCATATGTTTATTTCTTGACAGTTCTGAAACAAAACGGTGCGTGTTTGCAGAAGTTTCTATTCCTTCAGTTCTGCAGCAGGATGAGATAATGGTTTAATCTACGTTGGATTGTTAGTTACCATAAGCACTATTGAGCATTTTGAGACTTAGCTTTTCAAGCTGTTTGGCATACTTTTAAATGTGATTAGGGCTTATGCTATTTTCAAAATTGTCCACATTGATTTTCTAGAAGACAAGCTTTTCTAAAGCATATTACATTTAGTTCACCACAATGATTAATAGCTTCAAAATAGATTGTCTTGACATTGAATTTTTGATACAGTATACATATAGGGGCTTTAAATGAGGACTTACCACTTTTCTCCCTGAAGTTCATGATGTTTACTTCAATGGTAAATTTGAAATATATGGAAAATGAATCATGAAACATATTTTAAGTTATTTTTGTCGGGATAAAAGCAGTTGACTTAAATGAATTAAGTCTGTTTCTCGTAATTACTAATCCACCAATAATCGAAAGAGGTTCGGACAAAATAAGTGAAATTGTCAAGTTGGGAATTCACCACGCATCATTTCTTGTTAATTCGCTATTTTCACTTTCCAGTTACCTCTGTTAAATAAATACTGAGTAATTCATGCGGAAAACTGTCTTCAAGCGAGAAATATAAGTTCATGTGTTGCAATACATCATTTCCTGGGGATAATATTAGTTAAGGTGTTAGTCAGCGCATTGAAATCCGAGATTCTTCCATCATCTAGTTCTAGGGACCTTCAAGGTGAAGTGCTGATTAAACTGCTAGTCTACGCATTGTCATCACAGAATAAGGGATAGAATGGTAGTCAAACATGTACCTCAACTTCATTGACCTCGAAAAGGTCTTCGATAGTGCAGTGTTGACCGAGAAGCAATTTGGAAAGTACTTCAACACTACGGCGTGCATTGCCCACGTCTTTATCGACTTCATTCAACGGCTGGCTATATGTCAATGTCACGTGTCAGGTGATCCACAATGGAAAACTCAGTGAGGCATTCGAAGTGCATACAGGAGTAAGACAAGGCTGCCTGGCTATTATCACCCATGATATTCTTAATTGTGATGGACTGGATTATGCGTCAGACTGTGGGTCGGGAGCGACGGGACAGGAATAGGTTGGACCACTGATGAGAAGACTCTAGAAGATGTGGATTCCGTGCATGGATGATAGATGTCTAATGTCACACAAACTGGAAGACTTGCAGGCGAAAACCAACAAACTGGCTGAAGAGGGTGGCGGCGAAGACAGGACTGCAGGTGAACATAGAGAAGATGGAGATGATGAGGTAACCAACGAACCGCAACAACAACACCCAGCACCAATCACCATCAACGGGATAGATTTAACAGCGATTACCTCCTTCACTTATCTAGGAAGCATTGTTTCAACTACAGGCAGTCGGAACGAAAGATGTCAAAGCTGACTAGAATCGGAAAGGCAAGATACGCCTTCGTCAACCTGAAACCAGTTTGGAGATCAAATTGTTGTGAGAGCTGACTTCTAGCCAAAGTTGGTAGACAGTAATTGACGTCACTATTAATGTCCCCAATATTGGTGGTGAGAAAATGAGAACAGAGGCCTTGAGTAGGCGGATACAGTTGGCATATGGATGATCTGACACAGCCACAAAGAGATGCAAGGTTAACTTTCTGTGAGAAACAACCAATCAAAAGACTGTACTTTTTACTAACAATAATCTACAATAATGCACATTAAAATCTATAGATATGTATTGATTTTCCTTAATAAGGGATCTGTTGCCTGACCCTTGTCTTCTGTTGTTGAAAAATGACCAGCTGGCTTGAAAGAATTAGCAACAAGAAACTGTGGGAATCAATCAACCAAGAGCTGATCGCTCACCAAATATGTAGGAGAAAATGGAAATGGATTGGGCATACATTGCGGAGACATCGATCGCCAGGCCATCGCTCGAGTGGGACCAAAATGGGAAGCGACGAGTGTGTCGTCAGTGCGAGGGTGATACGGAGGAGATCGTGTGAGGAAGAGATGAGAGATTAAGGGTAATCGTGTTCTCAGCTGAAGATGATGACAGAAAATAGAAGTGGAGATGTGTTGTTGAAGCCCTATGTTCCACTCGGAACCCGAGGGAATAATAATAATACATGTGCTTCGGCAGCCACAAGTAAACTGATATAGGCGGTTGCAGCTTACAAACCAAGGATATCTGTCGACTTTTGAATGAACTAATAGACTTACTGTTTAGTACACAGAAATCGGTCTAGCTGCAGGAAATATACTACCTTGATTAGCAGTTAAGTCTCATAGCTTAACTGGTCGAGGGCCGGACTGTAATTCGGAGGCGGATGATTCGAATCCTTCAGCGAACCGAATTTTCATTTCAACTTCAATCATCATTCACTGCGTCAATTACAGTCTGAGACCCCAGGATTGTACTAGATAGTCTCACCATCAATCAATGTGAATTCCTCCATAATTAGAAACAGTAAATTCGCTAAACTTACTAAGTGACACAAAAAAGGTTAGAATAAGTGTGAATCCATTGAAGCAAACTTCAAGAAAAGCAAATAAAACTACGAATGTAATACTATTAAATGAGCATAAAAGTCGTTTGGACTTTTCATACAACATAATGCACGACTTAATCAAGAAAGCACGCTTCATCTTTAATGTAAGACGGAAATCACAACTTTAAATGTATGAGCAGTACAAATATTTCGAAATTTGACTCTACTCTTAGTACCATCTTTCACTATCCTGTCAGCATTAATCATCGCGTCGACTCGTTCTTTACCTTAGACTTAATATTCGAATGAGACAACATGCATGTTCACATAACAATGAAATGAATTAATATCATTACATTTGCAATTCAATAAATAGCCTACATTTTTCTGTGCTAAACATTCCAAAACTTGACACAGGATACAGCTAAAAACATCTCTTGAATAGATAACAAACCATGATATGAAGAAGAAACAGTTGAAGAGAACTACTGAAACTGTAATATGAGCAACAAAACTTGGTTAGCTATGGGACTTCATGAATGTAACCTGGAAATAAGTTTTCGTAAGTCAATCTTTCATCAGAAGAAACCATTTTATCACCTTTCATTGTTCAGCAAGTCGTATGATTACCACATTCTACAAATAAATGCAATTAGTAAAGATGAATTTAAGATGTAGTGCTTCATTCTGAAATCCTGTTCACCCTGAACCACTGAAATAGTTGCAAGCATTTTTGAAAGACTGCACCTGAGAAACACGGTGAAAAGACGCATTTTTCACAGACGCCTTGTAGTGTTTACTGAATATTATTAAGTGACTACTCAACCGTTAAAAAGACACGATGTTATTTGTATCTCTTAGTCTTAGAACTTAATTATTAGTTGATATTAATGTGGACTAACTAAAGGTGATTACAAATTTTAAACAGAATAGTGGATTGTGATGGAGTCACTTTACACATTTCAAATATTAAACAGCGAATTTTTAGATAGGACGAATGTTACTTTACTGGTGAAAACAGTCGGAAAGCTGGTGTACTGCAATATCGAGCAGCGTGTAATTTAATTGGTAAATTATGCATATATAATCCGTGTATACTAGATTTATCAGAGAAATCCAAAATGTAAAATAATCAAATTAGCTGTCTTTTGAGCAGCCTTTCTCATAATCTACCAATCAAACAAAGTCTTTACAAAAGTGAGACATACACCTACTCATTCACATAAAAGGATAAAAACGTCTCAATTCTTTGGTGTTAAACTGTTAACAGAAATAAAAATAACCAAACAGTAATTAGTCTTTTCAATAATAAGTAACCCTGTTTCAGTGAAAAGCGACATGAATAAAATGTGCTTCACTTCATCAAAATTTTCGCCATTATCAACTACTTTACATACAAGACTAGTGAGATTATGTGCAATGTGGTACGTCTTGGTTTCGTTCTACTTCGCTGACATCGGCAGTCACGTAAGTAATCAAAGAATCAAAATGTCATTGTACTGGTATTGGTTTTCATTTACTTTTACATGTTGGAATCATTTTTACCGCGGGCCAACTAGCTGACCTGATAAATCACAAACGCTTATCACGAAGAAAATAAATTAAAAATAATTTAGCCAAATTCTGTTCTCTGATGTCACCCAAAGAAAAACTTTATCATATTTTAGTTCCATTGTGGGTAAAATTTATTTTGATAAAGTCTCACAGCGTTATACAGTAATATTTACTGATGACATTTCGAGCACAATTTATTACCGCTCATAATCATATCAAGGTACTCACACAACTTTTTAATTTCGTTTATATAACTCGATTATTTTTCATCGCTTGACTCGATTGGTAGTAGTATTTTCCATATTAGCAGTATGAGTGATGAGTCATTCCTATTGCACTTGTTGGGTGTAGACTCGATGAACCAGGATTCAGTAATCAACCTCTCTCTCCACCTACGTATATTACTTCTTAGAATTTCAACCCCTATTGTGTGGTTGTGTTAATGCATGCAGTGCAACTGTTGAGCTTTTTCTGAATTACTTATCTTCGTGGGGTCAACCATTCTAACCTTAGCTAAATTCTTATGTTCCGACAATCTGACTACCCTCAATCTACTAGTTTGATCTATGTAGTTGACCTAACTCAGAGTCATTACAAGGTATTTTGTAAATTATATTATTCCGTTTAATTGCGTCAACTGGGTCCTTTAACCTACAAAGTTTGTCCCTGAGTGTGTTTGTAGGTTTGAATGCCACCCTAATTCCTGCTTTGTTGAGATCCTATGCAGGGCCTCAGATGTCCTCTCCTTATATGGTATAACTGTAGATGCCTTATATTCTTACTTATTTATGTTATCATTATTAGTTTCATCATTATTTTTATTTTGACCTTTTCTGATCTTCCTAATGAATTTTATAGGATAGTTATTTGACACCAAGGCTTCTTCTATCTGTTTCATTTCATCGTTTAGGTTATTTCTTGTACTACTTAGTACTACTACTTGGTCTGTTAGACACTTAACTAAGTCTGCATTTACAGATAACGGATGAGATGAATTAAAGTCTGAATATCTATAAGAATGCGTTGGTTTATTTTAATTACTAATGTGCAGTTTACCTTCTTCTGTTCGTTTTATTTTACAATCTAACATAGCTAATTCTCTTATTGTTCATTTACCGATTCAAATGTGAATTTGATTCCCTTTACTAATAAGTTTATGTGTGTGTCTGTCAAGAACCTAGAGATATGTTCTGTTTTTAACACTGTGAATGTGTCATCCAAATATCTCCACCATATTTTTGGAGTAGGATTAAATGTATTAAGAGCAATATTTTCCCAGCTGTCCACAAAGATATGTGCTACGATAGGGTATATTGGTGATCCCATTGCTACACCTTCTGTTTGTGTATATATTTTGCCGTGGAATTTAAAGACAGTAGATGTGAGGCATAACTGAATTCCTAGAATAATTTTCTCAATGGGCAGCTTTGTCCTATGACGAAGTTCGGGATCAGAAGTTAGTTCTCTTTTAACCGCTTCTAAGACCATATTGATTTGCATATTAGTATATTAAACCTAACCATTTTTTCATTATTCTTTAGTTGAATGTCATTTAGTTTCCTTTTCATTTCATATGAATTAGTTAGTCTAGAGTTTGAACAATTTTTAACGGGACATAATTTTAGAGCTAAGTGTTTTGATAATTCATAGGTAGGGGTATTCCTGAAATCTACTATTGGTCGTATGGGGCTTGTGTATTTTTAAATTACCACATATTCTACTAGCAATATTAGTTTTAGGCATTAAATTAAACCACTTAGATTCACTCGGTGACGGCTTCATTCTACGTATTAAATCCGCTGTAGGTTTTTTAATGTCATTCATTACTGTATCTAAAGGCTTCTTAATTTCCTCATATGAACGAGTCTCAATATGTTCAGTGACTTTCTTGATATAGTCAGATTTATCCAAAACTACTGCAGAGTTTCTTTTATCAGCTTTTGTGATGACAATGTTTTTATCCTGTTTTAGACTATTTAGAGCTAGTTTTTCCGATTTTGTTAAGTTTAATTTTGATTTTTAAGGGTTAATGCACATTGTGCTCGAACCTCTTCTGCTGTTGTCTTATCTATTGAACTTAATGCTACTTCTATGTTAGGAATGACATCCTCTGGTTTTAATTTACTAACTGTTTATCATATTTTAGTTATTGAAAATTGCGCCTTCACATGATATTTTAAGTACCTGTTTACAGAACTCAGATCAGCTTTACGTTTCACTACATAGTCCACTAATACACAGCAAGGTCTACGTGAAATGAGGTATCATCAAATGTCGGAAGCCAGATTTTGTCAAAATCACCCTGGAAATTCTTTTATTCGTTATAGTCAGTTTTTCAGAATTTTTTAAAATGTTCAATATTTCATTTCACGAAATGGATTTCATTACGAACACAAAATGATCACAGAACAAATGAATAGTGGAGCTCACCACAAAGGTGCTCCGTCTTACTTTAGAACTTTAAAATTCATTGAAGATTGAACGAGTGATCTAACCATGAACCTCTGGGATTATAGGAGATAACTTTACTGTTCAGATACTGGCTCGGAATCCATTTGCCTAGGAACTGTTAGCTTTGCCAACTTAACGAAATATTTTGATTTTTTTCACATCATCTAAAATACATTTTAGATATAAAATATAGACCTTTATGATGGTGATAGTGCCAACAAAAGTAATTAGGTAATTAATAGCTGTTCACCCTAGATAATTTGACTTGATATGATACAGTGACAAAGTACTATTGAAGAGACGAGCTTTCAAGCACCACTTATTGTTCATAAACATATCTGTCACCACCCCGATATAAATTGTGCTATGAACGTCATCCAAATAATAATAATAATAATATAGTAATCACTGAATTGTAACAAGGAGATGCAACTATTATGGCACTATACGGTACCGCGGTGCTTAAATTGCCCTCGCATTTTATTATTGAGTGTCACCAGATGCTTTTGAATAAATCATTATGTTTTCACTTACACTCAAGACAACACTTTGACCTTCTTCACTAGAATACATTTATCTCTCTATTTAACCACGCTAAATTTTAACTGTGTGAACACCAAAAAACAATAAAACGCTTGGATGGTAATTGATTCTTTGCTATTCGATGTAATCTATAGAATCTATACAATTCACTTTAGATATCCACTTCATCTGACTAATAAGTGCACCTAAAATTGAAATAAATTACCAAATGATCTGGATTTAGTTAATTCACTGTCTAAACAATGCATAAATATTATATTTAATCCCCGAAAAGCCTATTGACCTGGTCTTTTACGGTTAATATGCAAGATAAAATTTGAAGTTACAGCTGCTCAAGAGTGTTTGTCAAAAGGATGATCTAATATACTATATTATTTGCCTGAAGTATTATGTTATTAAAATATTGGACATAATAAGAGTGAAAATCTGTCGAATCATTCAACTACCATAACCAATAGGTCAGGAATGAAACGATCACCTAAATACTAACAACTGGTAACTCACATTTCTTCCGCAAAGGGAAAAAACGATTTATCTGTATAGAAGGTATATCTGAACCCCAAGTTATAAAACAACATGAGTCAAATTGACTAGATGTCTGAGTGGAAATAAAATTTGTCTGGATCTAAGCCTTTGTACAACAAATCTTTCAATAAAGTTATACTTATTAGCGTTTCAACCCCTCAGTAGGAGATTTTTCAGCAAATCGCCTTTGGGTTTTACATTTCTCTTCATTTCTATTGCTGATTTACTACAGACAAAAAGTGATATATTTCAACTCGACTAATTAATATGTCTATCTACCTGCCAGCAAAGTGTCGTTATCAGAATTTAGCATCTAGTTCAAAAGAATTTGAGGCTTTTGTTGAACAATTCAGTAACTCTTGTTTGTGGTGATCATTCCACTTGGACTTTGCACTTGCTTACTCAATAATGATTTATTGTCAACTACTGTATCTGCGAACAGGTTAATGGTATTCAGCTATCTATCATATTAACGAAATTCCAGAGAGTTTAACATGGTTTGAATAATTGGTGAACTTACATCATGTGTATCTCCGAAAAGTTAATTGGGGAAGTAATCTCACTAAATTCAAACCATTCCTCCACATAAATGTATTAAGTGTAATTGTAGTCGTTTTATCGGGTTTGAACTTCTTATGTTATTGAAAATTATTAGTGGGAATCAGCCGTATGGAAGTGTAATCCTTTACTTTTTACGAAAGGAATGCTAAATCATCTACACACTAATACAGATAATCAGAAACTTGAATGTCTTTGTAATAATACTGGTGCAACAGAGTGACGCACGACAACAAGCTTGTATTATCAAACCACTATAATAATATTATTAATCACCCCTTGGATTCCGTGTAGAATATACGGCCTCAGCAGTACATCTTCATCTCACTGTGTTCCTTGTTCTCCTTTCAGACTGGCTCCATGATTTTCCATAAGCTTTCAGTTCCTCCTCAGATCATCTCCACTGTGTTGCAATCGGAAGCCAAATTCGTCGTTTGATAGAGGGTATAGCGTGTGATGTTACTCAGTGGTATCTGTAGTTTAGGATCAACCTACCTCTATTTTATTGGGCATTAGGTACTTTGTCGGTTCGCTGTCAGAGTTAATTCTCGCGTGTCCTTTTCGGTATAGAGTCGTAAAAAGCAGCTGTCAATGAGAGTCTTCAGCTTATTGGAAATGCTTTTCGTGACGCGCGCACCAAGTCTCTGAACTATAGAGAAGCAATGACTTGCCGTTAGCGTTCGAAACTCGGATCTTGTTCCTTGTGCTGAGTGCTGTGGATCCACACACTGATTTGAGAGTAGTGAGGATCTGTCTTGCTTTCCTAATCTGATCTTGCCTGGCTTCGATATCCTCATTTGTGCCTTCTTTAGTTGAAACTATGTCACCTATTCAAATAAGTGAAAGAGGCGACTCCCTCGAAAATTCTCCCGTGGTACTCACTGGTCCTCGATGTTGTTGGTTGTGCATCCTCGTTATATCTGTCTTCTCTGTGTTCATCTGAAGTCCTGTGTTCGCTGCCCCTTCCACCAACTTGTTGGTTTCTGCTTGTAAATCTTCGAGTTTGTGAAAAATGTGACATAAATCATCTGTGAAGTGCAAATCTTCTACATTCTTTTTGTCGCTTCAGCGTATGCCTGTCTTCTCGCCCCGGACGTTCGATCGCATGACCCAATCCACCATAATGAAGAAGCTCATTGGCGATAGCAAGCAGCCTTGTCTTACTCGTGTCTTCTTTTCTAATTGATTAAAATTCCGTAAGGTTAAGTTTACGGCCGCATTTAGCTGATGTAAAACTCGTGACGATATGACAGTGAGTGCAATTAACCTTGAAGCATGATAAACGAAATATCTGAAATGTTAAACAGAATGTTTTGCACACCACACACATAAAATGGTGATATGCGGAAAGAAGATAAACAAACCAGAACAGCTTGCAAATAACTCGTATGCTTAACGCTCAAATGAGTTGTTTACAAATATTTTAAGTTGGGCTAATTAATCATTCCGAAAAATAGCGAATGCTGCTATCTTAAAATCAAGCCAACAAATGTCGTTTGACACAATAATTCGACAAACTTTCAATAATACCCTGAGTTTCTTCCTGTTCAAATATACGAAAATGAAGTGTTGACTGGAATACACTTGAAAAGCTTTGAAGATCTCTTGCACATTTTATCGTCAGTAGTCACTGTCAGTTTGGATTAAAAAAGGATGAAATTGAAAGTGAATGCATTCTACACTCACCAAGTCAAACAAAGTGTGTTGAAATTTAGAAATGAACAATGTCAGTCTGTTGTGAATTTTGACTTTGTTTTCCGGTAACCAGTTTGAGAACTTGCTGTTATTGAGTGCAAATATCACAAAGTGCCAAAGCATATATCTTCTGCTTGAAACTCAAAACACTTTTGCTCTACATATATTTACAAGTATGGAATTTTCAGCATGGATATCGGTAGCCCAAATTCAGGCTGACCATAGATATCGGGTGTGCGCCGGCAGGGGATCGAACCCCGGACCATGTGCATGGTCGGCGAGAGTCCTAACCACTACAGTAACCACCTCAGAGTTAGTAAGCAAGGGATGTATTAGTGTTAAACATAATAAATCTTTTATAAAATCTGATATTTCAGTGAACTGTATTTCACTCAATTTTTTTCAGCCTCTGTCTGAAAGACAACACCTCAACTTCAAATGGAATGGTTTCACGTTTGTTGACAAAGATCTGGCCAAGTCAATAATTTGCTCCCCTCAAGCCAATCAAGATGTCTGTTCACGGTTAGAGAAGTTATTGGATATCTCCAAATTTCTGAGCATGGAAGCACTATCTGAGTTTTTCTGTTATGCGAATCCTTGTGTACAAATCCCGTCGCCATCAAGTACTGCATTAAACCTGCCACCTAAAGAGAAACGAAGTTTATGCAATATCGATGGATGTTACAGCGATGACTATCAGGGAACGAAAGGTCTCACGGCGTAGAACAAATTCAACTCTAAATATATATTGTCATGTTTTCAATCAAAGAGTTGAATTTTCAATATACATGGTTCTAATAAATATTTTAACAACCTATCAATTATCACTTTTCCTAATGATACTCTGCAAAGTCTTCTGTTTGCGTCCTTATCAGATTCGACATCGGTTCCTGTTCATCACATAGCGGTAGAATTTAGAGTTGAACTTTAGTCAGTTGGTTGAATGCCAGCTCACTCGACTGTCATAATGACGGCCTTTAATTCCATTTTCCCCGGATGTGTGTTTGCGTATTCCCGATGATATTCCATGTAGAAAAACCTGCCGTTCAAGGCCTCTTGGAATTCAATAGCTCTTTTAGTTGGTGAGTAAATCACTCCTCAAATTGGCAAACTCTAGACAAACCTAATAACTTATTCTGTATTTAGTGGCAGGATGATGATGATGATATGTGGGCAGAAAAGTTAAGTGAAAGGTGTCAAATTGAATCTCCTTCATTTCTTCTACCATGATATATAAAATAGGCAAGTTTTTGTCTAAATTATTCTACACTGCATCCACTTTTATCACAGGTTTTGCAGTGTAGCAATAATACTTTTGATAGAACCTTATATATATGTTTCTGTTTACAATAATAAGGGTAAGTTTATTCACAAGGTTGTTGTGTAACGGCTGTTTCTGTACAGGAGAAACCACGTGAGTCACAAGCGATTAAAGGAGTTTCTGAATACGGGAGTTGGTTGCATTAGCAGCAATAAATCCCACAGGACATAAAACTGTATCTCCACAGCACAAAAAACAAGCGAGTTAAGCCAATAGCCTTTTGAAACGTTTTCTACTACAGAAATATGTATAAACAGTTGAGAAAGGAGGAGATACTCTGTCTATGCACTATAAATGTCCTGATATATTTTGGCTAGTTCTTCTGAATACAAAGTATAATATTTCCAGTGTATTTGCTCGACTATCATGAAAACAAATATGCTGACACTGTTTGCCTGCACTCAGCCTATGAGGAATTCAAATAATATTCTTACAGATTATACGCCTATTTTAGATTGCAATAAACAGATTTTATGTGTTTCAAGTTTGAGCACGGTACGATATCAGTTAAGGAACCACTAAAAACCAACAGGGAGTACTTGATAGGTGTTCCGTCCTAGCATGTACGCACCCACCGGTGTCTGAACCCAGGATCTTCCGACTACAATGCCAGGTCGTACACCATTCTGCTGCTTGGACCTGAATCAATGGCCCATGAATTCTAACTTCTACCAATTGATATCTTCATGTGTCTGGGCAATACTCCTATTCATTTATATCAAATCTAACTTTATCAAGTATCAGGGTCGTAATTTTGTTGTAAGTGTGATGTTTTGAAAGCTTCTATCATGTCGTGTTCAGTGAATCCAGAAAATGTTGTCTTACCCTTAATCTTACTGTAACGAATGAACATTCAGCAATTTTGATTTGATATCAGTCACAGTTATGATAAAGAGTGGGTAACTGTTGTTTGGATAGTCAGTAGAAACTATGGACTTTATGCAGAAAGACAGTATATATGCAAATTACATTTCAAATAAATGGAAAGCACCACAGAATTCAACAACTTCATCCATTCCAGCTTGCAGGATATTTGTCTAAACAGAATCTGATTGTACCTTCTTCTCCCGTACAGTTGTTAGTGACAGGTAGGCAAAAGTATCTTTTTAATTAAATGTAAGTATTATACTATACTAAATTTTCCTATACAGATGAAAGTAGCTATTAATAAACGTGAAAATTTCTATCAATAAATGCACATGCGCAACTTTCAGAAATATTCTTCGATAAACAGAGGGAAGTGAATAATACAAGCGTAAACTGTTAATAATTATCCCAGTAAATTTACCATTAAAAGAGATAGAAGAGTAAATGTATTTGCCTATAAGTTTGTGATTATGGAAAACAAAATGGGGTTTACTAATTTTGCTTGATTAAAATCAAAGTTTGTAGCTATTTTGGATACAGTAAACGACAGTACAGTATTTCTACTGTGGCAAATATTACTTCAGCTTAAATTATATCAGTGACATTGTACCACTGCTAAACTTGGTTTTATTATCATGGAATTAATTGTTCGTAAAATATTAGAGATTGTAAAACTTATTGAATATCTATTATACTTGTTGCATTATCACTTTAGCGTGGATAATAATTTTGAATCAGTGAAGAAATATTTGATAAAACGTGTTTCTTCACATGGCTTAATTAAGTATTATAGTTCTCAGCTTGCTCCACACTATTGTGTTAATACCGCTAGTGTATACGTTTCAATTAGTCAAGTGTCTCCTGTATTACTCATCTGATTATGGCAATTCAGTCCTTATCCACCTGGATTGCTGTTGTCTGATATCCATGAACTCAGAGTTATATTACAGCATACATATGGGTTAACTATTCATCTATTGGAGTTGTAAGAAATGCCTCGACTGAAAAGGACTGTCTATTAGTTAGTTCGCCAGTTTGTATGCCACTTCCAAACCGTTTGAAGTACAATTCCCCATAATAATTCTCAAAGTCGTAGATTTCGACTGAAGATAAGGGCATGAGGATAATCATCGGATTCCAAGCAGTTCTGTGGACTGCTTGCTATTGAATAGGTAGTAAATTATGTGAAATACTCCTTACTATGGTGTATAAACAAGTGTTGAAGATGCCCATAGGCTTCCATTTCCTCATGTGAAAATAAACGATATTTTTCAGTGTATATATTTACAACAAATTAGCTCTGAACAGTTATTGGAAGTGTTCACAAACAACAGGCCATCAAACGTTTTAAGACCGAATTATGATGAACGAATGTATACATTAGTTGGTTACATAATCTTTTGGCGCATATATGTGGACACACATGGTTTGCATTTAAACTCTTACTTCAAATGCTTACTAAGAAGGATTACTGAGGGAAATGTTTGTCTGACAGGTGATAAATATAGCAGTGTTGGGAACTGTATTCTTGGTACTTTTAGACGACATAATGTTCATGCTTGGATAATAAGTATCCATTGCTGATTGTATTTTTTTGAAATTTTGATTTGGTAACACTTACACCTGTGTACCTTTCAAACTCGGTAACATGTAACAAATCAAGTTGGAAATTGGTTACACTTGCCTGTTAAAACTTTACTTGAAAGCCTTAATAAAATACTGTCACCACACTATGCAACAGTAGTAAAGTATCAAGCATTAAGGTTGAAGGGATAACCTGTGACTTAGACCACAGAGACAACTTGTTTTAAACACCAACCACTATCTGTGACAGGGTACAATTCGACCAAATAAAAGTTGATACTAGGGATGATGATCTGATATTTGCTTTGATAATCTGCAAGATATTTTTTTTTTTTAGGAAAGGGTGCGTTTTTAATCCATAGGCTAAATATTCGCATTTAAAAAAGTGATTTACCAGTTGACACTTTTAATTTATGTTTCAAGTTGATCAATTTTTCAGTAAAAAATTCACTGGTCACAGTCTCAAACCCCCAACACTCATTCACTTGTCTTGTTGCTTATGAAGTTAATTCGAAAATGTGTATTCTTGGTTGCCTAGTGATTCGCAGGTCATGTTAATTTGCATGGAGAGAATGATAAATCCAATATTTATTCTCAGCGACGGTATTATCTGCATAGAGCCTTTGCTTTACAATTAAAATGGAACAGAAAAGCGGTAGTGTTTTCTTGGTTGCCTTTTTAAGTTTAAGGAGCTAAAAGTGCACTGTATGCCACTTTTCGATATGTATCAGAATTCTCTAGCCTAAAAGCTATTAGAAGTTTAGGTAATCAAAAATAAATGAGGTAGGCGCAATCTCTCAGTGGTACACTATGAGTATTTTTATGTCCAAAAGTAGACAGTTTTGTGCATCGCTTCTATGGCATTCTGAATTTTTCATGAGATACAGATGAAGACATTCATATCTAGGACATTACTTTCCAGCTGAAATTCTAAATTGCTGTCCAGCCCAAAATTAGACGTCTTTATGTGACTTGAACCTAACTACCAATCACGACATCGGTGGTTTCAAAATTGGCATAAGTTTCATTTTGAGTCATCATCTCAGTGACTTGAACAAAATACTTTTATCAATGATTCAACGTTTTTAGTATTTCTACTTTTTGCGGAACATTATGGTTCACTACTATTCTTCCAACTAACAGACTTCAACAAATGGTTCCAACTTGACCTTTAACATAAAATTGACGTTAACAGATCTTTAAACCTATCTATAAAACGTGTTTGGGGCGTATCCTAAAGTTTGTGGAAGCCTTAGCAATTAGAAAGTTTAAGCCACCTTTATGTGTTCAAAAACAATTCGTCATCACATTAAACCTTCCTTGGTAAATTTTGTTTTGACACCAATGCAGATGCACTATTACCTCTGTTATTTGGTTTAGTGGTCTTCATTGTTACTTTGACCTTGAATATATCCTTTAAACTTGACCTAAGTATATTTTCTCACCTCTTACCTCTTTATTAATTTCATATATATTCCTATGACAAGTCCGTGTGTGATCAGATTGTTCGAAATGTGTTGCGCAAATACATTACACGATTCAGACAAATTACGTCTTCTTATTGCTTTATCTAAATTCATAAAGGGAACTAATTGTTTTAAATATATTTTTACAGATTATGAGGTATAAAATACAGAATAATGGGATCACTATCGAAATTTTGTCAGGAATTAATGTAGTTTCACAAAATCTCATATAGGTGTAACGTTTCCATTTGTAGTGCATATACTATTCACTGCAAGCTTAAAGCTTTATGACGTTATACATTTTTCACATCATATTTCAGCAAAGAAACTTGAAAGAATTCCCGGTTAGACTTTGCATGATTTCAGAGTTTCACTTCTGCATATTGACGAAAATTGTGGATTCGGAATTCACAAAGCCATGATGTGAATGAATTCGAATACGGAAACGGAATTATATTGCACTAATAAGGTCTGAGAAACGTTTTGCTGAATGATAATAGTTATCAATTAGGAATTAAAAGCAATTAAGTGTGATTCAGTAGTGCAAGTCTCCTTGTAATATTCCTCTGATTTCACGAATGAA